GAGAGTTCGCGCTGGTATCGGGTTGTGGCTGTGGCGCGGCTGCACGGGTTGGGACGGAGGGGTGTGGGACGAGAGGCCGGGATGAAGGAAGCCGGTTGGACGCGACGAGATTTTATCGAAATGCCGAAGGTGCGTTGACGAAGACTCCCGTGTTGGCTGTCGGATCGGACGGGATGGGTTGGAATGGGGCGCGATGATTCGGGGTGGGGTGGGGGGAGGGGGATTAGGAGGAGAGAAGGAGGAGGAGGAGACGTTAGAGACTTTATTTCCGTACTTGGTGCTGAAAGCTTGGCCGTCACCGGCATTCGCTTGATTGATAGACCCGCTTCCGGATATATTGGATCGTCGCTTATTTTAGCAGTCGGCTTTTCCCATCGACGCCGTGAATCGTTGCGGATCTTGGAATTCGGTGGCCTCTCGCCCGCATGCGACACGTTCCTTTAGCGCGTGTAGGAAAGTTCGTTTGAACCGCTGGGGGGTACGAGGCTTATCGCACTGCGCGTAAACCACACTTTCCAAACGGTATTCCAATACACGGTCTGCCGATTTCACGCGTTCCAACATCCGAAGCGTTATTAATTGAAGAGCCAGAGGTTACGGGGGTGGATGTAAGGTGGCGCGAGCGGGGAGTATAGAGGAATTGTGAAGCGTGGTGCGGGGGAGGGGGGGGAAGAAAAAAGAAAGTACGGTGAGAGATTACGGCTGGCAAATAGCTCCGACATGTTGGAGTAACGTGTGCGGTGAAACGTGTTGTCATTGTACTTTTATATTCCTTCCCGTTAGTGCTTCTTCATCACATTGCATTCATATTGCAACGTACGCCTTCTCTCGCATTCTGAATTATTTAAACGGCATTCTAATCTTTCACCCGTAAGGCGACCTCTCCTAAGAACTTCTCTCTCATTAAACATGATTTTTCTGATTAAGGACAAACATTTATTGGGTTTGGTGGTTGGATATTAATTCAAAGTCCAGCCCAGCAATTAGCAAAATTAATGTAATTACGCGATGAGACAGCGACGAGGTTTTATTGAGAAGCGAGGCTGTGCAAAATTTAAACAAGTATAGCTTACGAGCGTATACAATTTTTAGCTTTATTTAAAGCTTTTATAAAATGTCGTATATTAGAATTTTAAATTCGAATTTCTTGTTTTGTTTTTTATCATGCAAATTGTTGTGCAGAGTCATAATTATAATAAATAAATATTGATATTATTTTTCAAGTTATCTTACACAATTTATATATATGTATATATATATATATATATAAGGTCTAACGTTATTCAAATCATTTAACATAGTACTTGTGCAATATTTAAAGAGGCCGGCGTATAAATTATGTAAACAATTTATGCAAAGCACCGAATGATACGCACTGAATCTTGATAATTTTCTTAAGGGCGCAAAAAGCTCGTTGCAATTTATCACCGTCACACCGGGTAATATCACTTGTGTCTTGGTGAACACGCACCTCATAACTGTGATTTCTTATTGTTTAATTGCTGGTTTGCACGAGATATTTTTTGTCTTTGTACAATTATGTCATGATGCCATGACACTCGCGATGTTTCCAAACTTACCTTACGTTTTAGAATTTAATCGCAAATTTTAATTATAAAGTTGTTTATCCAGTAAATACGTAATTATACACACACACGCGCGCACGCTCCCACACACACACACACACACACACACGCGCGCACACACACACACACACACACACACACATATATATATATATATATATGTACACGCATACACATTATATAGTAATAAAAAACAAATATATGTTTTGTAATTGACTCGGCGACAAATAGATTTATAGATTCTAACTATTTTCTATCAAACTAATCAAATATTGTTTTTTAAAATAGTTTAATTTATGTAGTTTAATGGCTGTTCATAAAGACACAATACTATACGATTTCTAATCAATTAAATAAACTATTGAAATATGCCTACTTAATTTTCAGTAATTCAATTCTAAACTGGAGTAACAAGTTTCTTGACTTTCTCAATAGCCACTAGAGTGATCTTATTAACACAAATTCAGTAGGTCATAAAAGATGTTCGATTAGAAATTATTTTGATGTGATTGCAAGAGCCACATTTCGCCTCACAATTACCAATAATCCCCATGTTCGCATGTATGGAGTAAGACGTCAATGATTATATAAACAAATAAACATACTAGCGCATGAGAATACGCGGTATAGGCGAAGATACGGGATGGATGGATGATATGCCACCGAAACCATCGTCATCCCACGGTACGAACGATCTCTCACGTGAATTATGTTCGCGAATTCAGCATCCGAAAAGGAAAAGAAGCGTTAACCGCTGTCAAGTCACTATCAGTCCTCATTCTGATAAATCGGCATAAATCTTGCACGTATGTACATTACGTCGCGTACGCTCAATTTTCAATACGAAATTTCCGCGAAACGCGCGCAATTACCGCAATCATTCCTCCTTTTCCGAGTTTCTCCTTACTCGCGCCAGAGACGCGTATGTACTCGGTAACCCAGAAAATCGAGGCGCTGCTGCAGAAGAAGAGGAGACGTCGGTAAGAGACGCTCCGAGGCATTATAGCGAATGCTGGCCTGGGCTGTGCTTCTTGTCTGGCGGCTGCCCGTCCACGGCTGAATAAAGAAGAGAGAAGGAAAGCCGGCAAAGGGCAGAGAGCGAGCCACTCGCCAAAAGCTAGCCTAGATTGGCAAATTTCTTATCCATCGGGATAATCGCTATTTATCTTGTTATAGGAGCTGGTCGAGGCTAATCTTACCCTCAGCCGGCCTTATTGCCGAGTTTAAAGAAGTTTCTCGGCCCGTTTACGACTGAATTATGTCTCGGCAATTATGACTTATTTGGCAAGTTCTCGCTCCTTCTCAACAACGACATATCACTGCTCGGGCAATTTATTAGAAATTGCTTGCGCGTTTGCAAATTAATGGCTTAAAAAGGAAGCATATTTAACGATTCTGGAATAAAGTTTCGTTTGTTTTTATCTTTTATTTATTTGATTTTTTTGTTTTGTTTTGTTTTGTTTTGTTTTTTTTTTTATTTCTAATTGACTATTGAAGCTTATACGATAAAATCCCTTTTTTTTCGAATAACATTTTTTCTTCTTATTCTTCTTCCTATTACTATTACCAAGTTCTGCAACGTTTGGCTTATTAAATAAACGTTGCATTATCCCTCCTTGTGAATCCACGATTTTGCCTAATTTCAAATATAAGTGTAAATGAAGGAGAACATAATAAAAGATTTATCCAACAATCATAGGAATATTTAAACAAACGAATTTAATCGATGAAGACTCGACAAGAAAAAATGAATTAAAAAAAAAACGGATAAATTAATGAAATTGAAAAAGTAATTAGCGACTTTGTCTTTTTTTCTAATCATGAGATATCTGTAGTTAAAGAAGAACATTTAATAAAATTTTTTTCTTAGTATATACAGTTACTTTTATGGACCATTAGTATGTACGTTGATGGTTTTTACGCTTATGATAATTATTGATAAAATACAAGTGGCTAAACCATTCGAATAATGATTTATAAATAATGTACGTGAAATTGATCGTATCCTATTAAGACTGGACGTTTTATAATATTATTTTTTTTTTTTTGTTTTTTTTTTTTTGTTTAATAATACTGTTAAGGCTAACTGAAAAGACACAATGTATGCTACCGTTTAAACCAACTTGTTCTCGATAACTCACATTTGGCCGACTGTACCTGTAAACCTGTGCACTTTCGTTGCACCGAGTGTCAAGGCACTTGTTTGAGAATTTATCTTTCCGTTGCGGATGGAAAGCGTACGAGTAGGATGACTCGTGCGTGCATTGTTCTTCAAAATTGTGGAACCACACGACTTTCTTTATAAATCTTGACCTCATTACTCATTGCGTACTCTCGATTTACATTAATACTTTACTGGCTCACGTAATTCACCAACATTATTAGTTATTTTAGAGAATTTTCTGCGCAATAGTCGGCAAATTAACATTCAGATCCTAATATTCAGATGGACTGAAGATATATTGAATTTTAATATCAATTTAATACTTCGTTATCACTGTATTAATGTCATTGTAAAAATATCGCTAAATCGTTGTATATGGATTATCCATTATCAACGATTTATAGATTAGCTTTTCATTTGGATTTCTCGTTCTCGTTCCCTTCTCCCCTCTACTAAAGCCACAACGGTAATAACAATAACAATAATAACAATAACAACAACAACAACAACAACAACAATAACAACAACAACAACAACAACAACAACAACAACAACAACAACAACAACAACAACAACAACAACAACAACAACAACAACAACAACAACAACAACAACAACAACAACAACAACAACAACAACAACAACAACAACAACAACAACAACAACAACAACAACAACAACAACAACAACAACAACAACAACAACAACAACAACAACAACAACAACAACAACAACAACAACAACAACAACAACAACAACAACAACAACAACAACAACAACAACAACAACAACAACAACAACAACAACAACAACAACAACAACAACAACAACAACAACAACAACAACAACAACAACAACAACAACAACAACAACAACAACAACAACAACAACAACAACAACAACAACAACAACAACAACAACAACAACAACAACAACAACAACAACAACAACAACAACAACAACAACAACAACAACAACAACAACAACAACAACAACAACAACAACAACAACAACAACAACAACAACAACAATAACAACAACAACAACATCAACAATAATAATAATAATAATAATAATAATAATAATAATAATAATAATAATAATAATAAGAAGAAGAAGAAGAAGAAGAAGAAGAAGAAGAAGAAGAAGAAGAAGAAGAAGAAGAAGAAGAAGAAGAAGAAGAAGAAGAAGAAGAAGAAGAAGAAAATTCGACGCACTTCATTTGAACTCACTCGAATCCTCGATTTCAGAGCACAAAAGGGGAAGCACCACTGGTCGACAGCAGCGCGCTGCCCCTCGAGCACAGATCGGTGTACGGACCACCGGCCCAATATGGACCGCCGGCAGCGTCCCACGGGGCCGAGGAGAACTGGCCCCTGGCCTCGCCCGACACACCGCAGATCAAGCACCTGCAGGTCCAGTGCGAGAAGACGCACATGCGCGTCAACATCGAATTCGACCGACCATTCTACGGTATGATATTCAGCAAGGGCTTCTACTCGGATCCGCACTGCGTCCACCTGAAACCCGGCACCGGGCACCTCAGCGCCACCTTCGAGATCTTTCTCAATTCTTGTGGCATGAGCTCGTCGGCCAATCACAATGTTGCCGCTTACGGTGCGCCGACGCCATCCGGCAGCTACGTCGAGAACACGATCATCATCCAGTACGACTCATACGTGCAGGAGGTCTGGGACCAGGCACGGAAGTTGCGCTGCACCTGGTACGACTTCTACGAGAAAGCCGTGACCTTCAGGCCCTTCCAAGTCGACATGCTACATGCCGTAACGGCCAACTTTCTCGGCGACAATCTCCAGTGCTGGATGCAGATCCAAGTTGGCAAAGGACCCTGGGCCTCGGAGGTGTCGGGTATCGTTAAGATAGGCCAGACCATGACCATGGTACTGGCGATTAAGGACGACGAGAACAAGTTCGACATGCTCGTCAGGAACTGCGTGGCTCATGACGGCAAGAGGGCGCCCATTCAGTTGGTCGATCAGTACGGCTGCGTCGTCAGACCGAAGATTATGTCCAGGTAAGGCGATTCACTCTTGCGATTCCTTTCAAATATCTCCCCTTCTACTTTTAACCCAAACTTTAATCGCACAACTAATAAGCTCGAAATGCGAGAAGAATGAGAATTTTTATTAAGATTAAGTCCTGTATTTTATCCATAAAGTAATTAAAAACATTTAGACGGACTTTATAGAATTCGTAATAATTCCTTGCACGCTTGACTATTTTAATTCGATCACGATATTATTACAAGGATTTACTTACGGCTTAAACAATAAGTATAACAACGGTTATATCGGTTGAGTGACGATCGGGGGACATGCGTTGGCATAACCATATTGTTTTTCATGCTGTTTCACCGGCTCCGTGGAAGAGGAGGAGGATGAGGAGGAGGGGGATGGGGAGGGGTGGGGTGGGGTGGGGCGGGGGGGGGGGGCAAATGCAAATGCAAATATCATCTCGGGGGGAGCAAATGCAAATGCAAATATCATCTCCAAATTACCATCTCAATTGCAGATTCCAGAAGATCAAGAACTTCGGGCCTAGTGCCTCGGTCGTGAGCTTCGCCTACTTCCAAGCGTTCAAGTTCCCCGACAGCATGAACGTCCACTTCCAATGTGTCATCCAGGTCTGCAGGTATAACTGCCCGGAGCCAAAGTGCGGCCATCCCGGCCTCGAATACGGCGCCCCGTCGAATTCCATCACCGCGGAGTATGGTGCGCCAATTCATCAAGGACTCTCCTCGGAATATGGAATTCCTCCACTACCCGAGTACGGGATCCCTCCCGCGTATCCCGATCCCCGTCATCCCAGCGGACCGGCTGGAGCATACAGGTAATTTACCAAATTAATAAATCAAACATGCCAGTGCATTAATTATCATTACTAGCACGGGAGCGTCGATACGTTATTTTCTGCTTTATTTAGTTATTGCACTCCGAGCGTATTTCACGAATTTTTTAATTCAATTTCATAATCGAGATGTCAATTTATTATACGATTGCCGATACTTGGAGTACAATATCATCGGCCATTAACCAGATGGATTACACTTTTGATAATATAATTTATTAGGCATTTATATTACATCGGCCGCTTATTAAAGAAAATAATCGTATTCGTTAATAAGATTTTTATAGAAATCCATATATTTCAGGGCGAATAATGTAAACGAGACGGCGCACAAATTTAATACCAACCTAGCGTACACTGACAATTGACGATTGGATCGTAAAGACATAAATTTTAGGTAAAAGTATCATGAGCCGAGTGAAAAAGTTGAATTTCATTTCTCTCTATCGAGGTGCTTGTAGCCAAAGGCCATTTACCTTACTAAAATTTCGTTTACAAAGCCCTTTTATTTCCATACTCTAACGATACTTCTTTTATTTTAAGAAGAGTTCTTTATCGACACACTCGAGCGTAATAATAAATAAACTCCGTTGCTCCCATCATTTGTTTCAATTCGTCATTGAAAGTAGCAGAGCATTCATTCTATTCGGAGGGTAACTGTATTACAGAACGAAATTTAGAACACAGTTTAATAGCTTTTTAAGTAAGGTCAATTTATCATTTATGTTTTTGCTTTCTTCTTTTCTATTTATGTTTCTTCTTCATCTTCTTCTTCTTCTTCTTATTATTATTATTATTATTATTATTATTATTCATATTCATTAACTGCATCGATAATTATTAATTTATCCGTTTGATCAAACATTTTAAACATTTCATTGAACGTAACGACGTAAGAGAGAAGCCGGAGATTTTGAGAATAATATTCTCAATACGAATGAAGACAAGGAAGGAAAGCAAGGTAGAAGAAGAAAAACAATGAAAAAATCTGGCGAATAAAAAACAAACGATTGCTTAATTAATCAGATATTCTATCATATCGTTGAAATATTTACGAGTCGTTGGAATACTGGAACAGTGACTTTCACATCTCCTTAATGCAGGAATTTCAATATAAAAAGTTGGATAGTTCGTATAACGGGGCTTAGAGAATCGATATAAATTTTCTTAATCGGCATTTGATGAGAATTTTTTATTTACAGCTACGACAAGTCTTTCTTAATTATTATATTAAAGTGCTCGATGAAATCGGTAAATCACGAACAATGAATAGATTACAAAATGGAAAAAAGAAAGCGCTCGCCCCGAGCAGCATCCCACTCTCGACATACCCTCCTTCTCTCACACACACTCCCTCTCACTCTCTCTCTCTCTCTCTCTCCCCCTCCCCCACCATGACACCCGCCCCGCCACAAATTCTCGCTCACCTGCCCTTCCAGCGTCACCTTCCAGAGCGCCACTTAATTTCAAAAGAGCTCCACCCTGGAGACGCCCAATACTTACTTCCTTGACGAATAAAAGATTGTCGATCGATCCCCAGTGAGCCGAATCCCGATGTAGTACCAGCACCCCAGGCGCAAACCTCCTCGTCGTCGCCGAGCTCGACGTCCACGGGTAACGAGGCTACGGCCAGCAGCAGCGCACCCCAAAGTTCGCAGCAGCAACAACAACAACAACAACAACAACAACAACAGCAACAGCAGCAGCAGCAGGAGAGAATTCATCTTCCGCCTCCACCACTGCCCGGACATCCAGCAGCCGCCTATCAGACGGTCAAGAGGAAGGGCACGGTGGGCGGCGACGAGCTCGAGGGTAATCTCGCGACCCTCGGTGGAAGGCCGAGATCCGTGGAGGGATTACCCGCGGAGCTGCGGGGCGCCAGGAGGCGAAGGAACCTCGTTGGCGAGGACGTGCACGACGAGGGCGAGGTATGCTATGCTTATGTTTTTCTGTCGAGGCGCGGCATCCTTATTAAGCCTTAGAAAGTACACATGGCGGCCGTGTAAGCGCGAGTCTCCTCCTTATTTGCATGCTCGTATCCTTAAGACGCGAAGTTTATTTACGAGCCGTTGGAGGGAGGTGAAACGATAATGTTCGCCCGTACGGGGGAATAGTCGTCCAACTGCCGGCCCTTCCAATTTTTATTTGTGCAATTTTTTTTCGAGGGGATTGCGTTGCTCGCGGCTTTGGCGAATTTTCGGCTGTGGCCAGGATAATGCGAAAAATAATTCGACTTTGCGTATTGTGGTGCTTGGTATGTATGGATACTGTGATGATACTACGGAAGACAGAGGACGCTAATCGAGACATTTGTCTCGTTAAAATAATTGCATTAAAAGAATTGACTCACTTCCCCCACTTTTTCAAACTGCTCTTTCTTCTTATTTTCACGTAGTCAAGGATTTCATCACATACCATACATTCTTATTAAGCATATATTTCACATTTTAGAGTTCGTTTATTAGTTTATTTATTAGTATTATTATTTATTGCTTTATCTGTTCATTGTCAAAACACTCGATTCCTTATAATTATTTTTGTCTTTTGCATTAGTTATTATTTCTCGGGTAAATAATTATTTTAATGCTAAAACAATCGGAAAACGTCGATGTGCTTTTTCTTTAAGAAATAATAATCGATTAATCGGAAAATAGTTACAAAATTCACGCAATCTTTCCTATATTCTTTATAATTTTCGCAATTAAGTAAAACACTTTGTTAATTTGCAGGACTTTTTCCATACGATGACATTCGTCACCTCGCACGTGTACAAGCGCGCCGCCCAGGAGATGACGGACGTGAACACGTCACGAATCATCCAAGTGGTAGCGCCGGGCGATGTGAATTTCGCTCTTGGAACACCGAGCTCCGATAACGATACGACCGTCGTTATTCAGGACGCTACAACGAACAACGACCCGGAGACAATCTGCATGTCTCTACCTGGCTTCGTTGGCGGTCTCGTGATGCTCTTGCTGGTTATCATTGTCGCCTCCCTCGTTGCCACCTTCCTTTTCATGCGTGTACGAGCCGTCGACCGGAAGAACGCCGGCATCAGTTTGGGATTTGCGCATCCAGTTTACGTAACCGAGAACCCCGAACTTGTCAAGGTCGCCAATTGAAGAACTATGAAGAATCCGAAGTAACTGTCAAAATAAGAAAATAACAAATAGAGCGAGACAAAGTAATAGGGAACACACACACGAGAGAGAGAGAGAGAGTGAGAGAGTGAGAGAGAGAGAGAGAGAGAGAGATAAAGATATTATAATTGTAGTCTAAAGTGGTTGATGCATTCCTCTTCTGCAATTCCGCATAAATTTTTAAAGTCGACGAATCGACACCTTTAACTTGGTTGAAGTAATAGCAACGAATATTTTACGAATCTATAAATTCGCTTCGTTTCTGTATCCTTGAATCGTCTCTCTTTTCCTTTCCCTCGTGCACATGCACATTTTTCTTTCTCTCTCTCTCTCTCTCTCTTTCTCTCTCTCTCTCTTTCTCTCTCTCTCTTTCTCTCTCTCTCTCTCTCTCTCTCTCTCTCTATCTATCTATCTATCTCTGTGCTTATTCCCCTTTTTTAATTCGCCATTCGCTCGTTCTCTCGCTCTTCTCTGAGCTTCTTGAAATGAAGAATGAAGCACACGAGTTCGAAAGTACTTTCTACAAGAATTAACGTCTTTGATTTGCATTATTCGAAGATGATAGATCTGCGTATCCTTTGAATTGCGCACAAATATTAGAGTGGTTCATTAAATCATTGGAAAATCAAGAGACGCCGGATTCTGATGAACAATTCGACAATGTGGGTTACCCTACCCGATACCATCACATTAATACATCATTTGCATACATAGAGGATTTGTGCTTGTGCAATGGATGGTTTTAAGGAAGCACAGCTCTCATAGAAACGTGTGGATGATACATCTTCAAACAAAGACTGACATCGCTTTTCACTCTTCGAGGATCTCAGAGGGGGGGAGTTGTTATTTCTCGTTGACGAGAGAAAGCGTCTATCTTTCATTCGCTATCTCTCTCTCTCTCTCTCTCTCTCTCTCTCTCTCCCTTTCTCTCCCTTTCTCTCCCTTTCTCTCCCATTCTCTTATTTCGAGTCTATCTCAGGGGACATTCCGATTACGTATTTTGCTCGTGTGTAAATATTGGAGGACCCTGGTAGCTTAGGAAAGTTAGGAATGGAGAGATTCGAAGGCGAGAAGAATCAAGAGAAGAGCGTGTACGTGTCCATTGTGAGAGCAAAAAGAGCGAGAGACAGAGAAAGAGAGCGAGGGAAGGAAAGAGCACGAGAGTGTGTGCAAATGCGCGTGTGTGCGTGCGTGAGTGCGTGTCAGCGTGTGTGGGTGAGAGAATGCGAGAGAGGGAGAGAGTGTGAGAGACAGAGTGTGTGTGAAAGAGAGAGAGAGAGAGAGAGAGAGTGAGAGAGAGAGAGAGAGAGAGAGCGGGACGGAAGAATAAAAAAAAATGCTTGAGGAGCGCTCGCGGTGTTATGTATATATGAAGAGGCGCGCGCATACGAGCAAGTCAAGTCGGTGCTCCTCGACAATTTTAAACATATAGCCCATTTTTCTGTATTTTTTTGAATCTCTTTCTCTTCGATCAGCGAAGGCGCAATTTATCATTGCATTATGTTATATGTATCTTTATCAAGATCGTCGATCTATATTTATATTGTATGTCCCTTCAACGCACAAACGTTATTCTCATTTAACGATATAGTGAGTATAGATCGAATTTCAAAAGACATTCGTTTTAAAAGTACTTAAGACTTTTAGGTTGGTTGCTCTGACAACCAGTAGCTTTATTTGAAATGCCTTTGATTTATTGATTTATCTAATCGGTCTATACTTCCTAAGTCTACCAAATCTCCTCAATGTACCTTTCCTCTACTTTCCATTTAATTAAACGAGCAACGATACATGCTTCGCTCCATTATAGAAACAAAATGACTTCTAATTTTCTTATCGTTATCTTTCGTTTGCCATGAAGCGTCACTCGGTACAACGTAGCTTCCTTTTTTTTTCTTTTCTTCTTCTTCTTCTTTTTTGTTTTTTTTTTTTTGTTTTTTTGTTTTTATTTATTTTCTCTCTAAAACAAGTAATTGAATAAAAAGTTTCGTTACCTGAACCTCTTTATTGTTTCCCATTGTGTATCTATCTATCGATCTATCTATCTCGTGTTCCTATTTTCCTCTTTAAAGGCACTAATGCACACTAACCTTAACTTATTGCTCGATCCCTCTTTCATTGATAATCCCAACCATTGATTTCCTTCCTTTCCCTAATCGATCGACCTAAACATTCTCACGACATGGGAATGTGTTTTATGTATGTGTCTTGAGCACACACCTCTACACGATATCATATGATAATATCGAATATGATCAACATACTGTAAGGATTTTTCATGATTACTCGAATTATATATTACTTTTTATTTATATAAAATTATAATGTTGATTATATCATTTTTTTTCCTATTTCTTTTTTTTTTTTTTTTTTTTTTTTTTTTTTTTTTTTTTTTTGTTTCATTTCCTCACCACTATAAATGTACTTATTTAATTATGTTTAAAAAATTTAATACCGAAAATATTTAAAGTACAATACAGACTTAATTACTTGGACCTTTTCCCCCTTATGCTTTCAATTTCATAATTATATTTCAAATCTTTAATATCGATTTATTACATACAATATGCAATGAATTTTTGTTATAAATAATTAATAATCGGGGCAATGAAATGATTTAAAATAGTCTCTTTTCTATATTTATTTCTCATTCCTTAATATTCTATGTATAATAAAAGTCGTGTACATAACATATACCTTAGACGTGTAACACTAGAGGTTTAATGAATAAGGTATTTTCTGCTACGGTCGGTGTATGGTCCGTACAATAAAAAATAATTATTTGCTGATTTAAGTAAAAATTAGTAATTCTAATAGTGCAAGCGTGGACGATATAAATATCAACAAATATAATAAAAAGAATTTTCAATTCGGAATGCAGTGATGTTATTGTCAACTTGTAATTCGATTCCCTGAGCCTATTTTATTCCGACTATAAATATACTATAAAACTTTTATTGATGTCGTTATTTAATAATATAGTACATATTGCTACATATTCGCTCAACTGTTTGATCAAAAGATTTACAGACTATCACTAATTGACACGAGAAATAATAATATAATAATGATAAGAAATATTAATGTTAAATTATGAAGTTTTTTTTTTTAAATTGCTTGTCAATTTTCAAAATCAATCATTTCAAAAATATTAATGGAGTATGATGTTACGTAATAGACACAGATCAAATTAAGTAAAAATTAAGAATTTTAGTCATTCATAATCATAACTTATATAGTAATATAAAGAGTTTATTAGATTATGTGTGACGTTATTACTAAGCGTTTAAGTTAAAATTCTACTTAAAGAATTATCAATAGATAATTAATTATATCTTTAAACAAAATATATGCAATATAAATATATGAATTAATTTCAAAATTTAGAATCTAATAATTCACGAAAATTGATCGAGTAATTTATAATTATATAGTTTATCGAGTAATTGATAATATATATTGGACTAATTGACACTATCAATAAAATAATTAACGTAAATTTCATTATAACTATAAGATAACATTTAATGTAATTGAATATTCATTTTCTATATTAATAAGTTTAATTAACATTAATCTAAAAATAAAAAAAAGTTAAACCTACATTTTACTTATTTAATACAACATTTATAATATAATATAACATAAAGAACTATTTTACAAAATAGGAATATTTTACGAAAAATTACGTAAAATGTATATATATGTCTGTCGACATGTATACGTAAAAGAAATCTACAGAATTCATATAGGCATTTGAAATTCAATAGTAAGATGCAAAAGCTGTAGGTGTGGAATCCATTAAAATGAATTATTACAGTGTAAATAAGCTGTAGGTGTGGAATCCATTAAAATGAATTATTACAGTGTAGTACAGTACAAACACTAAGGCAGATTAAAATTTACGAAGTTTTTAAGGTAGAGTAAGTAGTAAGAGAAAAAGTAGAGACAAATAATACATTAACCGTATTATATTTATTAAAACATATAGAATAGGCTGAAGCTTAAAATAGTCATAATGACCGTAATTTATTTGGATTTTAATATTATTTATATGATTTCATCATTTTTCATGATCGTTCAAGTAATATCAGTTAAGATGTGCGCATTTAATATACATTTTGGAGAATGTGTGAAAAGAATGTCAGTATCGCCCCAAAGTACTTGCGTATATCAACGCATAATATGCTAATAAGCTCAGTTTAAGAAGAAATTTCTCGGACTTGTATTTCACAATTCCATTTGGATATTAAAAAGTTTCTTATAAAACTCGTAGTTTACGATTTTATATTATGCATCTAAATCTAACAGAATGAATTATCACGACTACTCAAAACATCCAGTTGTGTGAATAATCTTAAACTTGGGCTTTTTATTTAATGATATTTTATAGATTGCTTAGCTCCACTTGCAAATTGATTGCCAAGTTATACCACAAGTTTATCAATTGTAAAACACAGAATTAATTTTAATCATCTAATCCACCAATCAATTAGCTCAATGCACATGGCACGTGGAATAATGACAATAAGGACCATTGCCCCTTTATATCGTGGATCAATTTATAAGATCCCTTAACGAAGTAATAAACTAATGCGCGTTTATAAAAAAGCAGTAAAAATTAAGCATCGTCATTGTAAATGTACTTTTTCATTAAAAGTTCGTAAGACTAGCGTAAGGGAAAAGTTCATTAGCCGTAATAACTGGCTTTCCCTCATACCAAAGCTAACGAACGAGAATCATTAAAAACGTAACGCACCAACAAGAACGTTAATACGTAAAAGAAACACGCGACGCGCATGCTTCAGCGCCATTTAAAATTGCCATAAGAGTTTACTTTCACGCACAACGTCCTTCCAAACAAGTGGATACATTAGAATGATAAAGGCCGCCGTTGGCCATAAATTAATTAGATTTTTCTTCTCGGGCTCTCTCTCTCTCTCTCTCTCTCTCTCTCTCTCTCTATCTCTCTCTCTACCTCTCTCTCTCTCTCTCCGGCTGCTTATCGATCGATCGATAGTTCGAGTTCGATGGGCGCAAAGGTAATATCAATCCATATGAAGCCAGGACTGTAAAAGAGGCCGAAGCACGCGCGAAACGGCCAAATCGGCCGTCGTCGAAGCCATGGAGAAACAGCCGCGTCTCTCTCGTTATGAGCAAAGTGCGTTATCAGCTGGTGCGCGGGGGCGACGTAATTGCAGCTATGTAGACCGGCAGATTTTCAAAGAGCCTCCAATTAAGGCGACAGTGCGGCAGATTACGTGCCATTCCTAGTCGACGAACGAAAATGTAGATGGGAGACTGCAAAGTGGATGAGGGAAGTAATGAAGATGCAAAGGGATGGA